CTATTCTCTGGTGTCCCAGAGCCCAGCTCCACCACTACATTGACTCCTGCACAGTGCGATCCCTGGAAGAGCAGCGAGCAGATCCCAGGATCCGAAAGATCACCAACACCTTCCGAAAATCTGGCGCCTTGTGACGTGGCTAAGGGTACAGCAATCTACCAATGATTAACGCCAGGAAACACAATGTCCTGTCCCACACTGCTGAGGCCTGAGAGGAACCATTCAGCCCGTCAGCTCCGTGCTACCCCTCTCCCAATCGATTCCACACTCACTGACCCTCCGACAGTGCCCACTCCCTCAGCACTGACCCTCCGACAGTGCGGCGCTCCCTCAGCACTGACCCTCCGACAGTGCCCATTACCCTCAGCACTGACCCTCTGACAGTGCGGTGCTCCCTTGATATTCATTCATTGGGTTGTGGGTGTAACTGGCTGGGCCCAGCATTTATTGCCCCCCTTGAGAAGTTGGGGGTGAGCTGCCTTCTTGAACCGCTGCAGTCCATGTGCTGTGGGTTGACCCACAATGTCCCTCAGGGAGGGAATTCCAGGGATTCTGACCCAGCGACACTGAAGGAACGGGGATATATTTCCCAAGTCAGGATGGGGAGTGGCTCGGAGGGGAACTTGCAGGGGGTGGTGTTCCCATGTATCTGCTGCCCCTTGTCCTTCTGGATGGAAGTGGGTCGTGGGTTTGGAAGGTGCTGCCTGAGGATCTTTGGTGAATTTCTGCAGAGCATCTTGTAGATGGTACACACTGCTGCGACTGATCGTCGGTGGGGGAGGGAGTGGGATGGTTCTGATTGCTGTCTGTTTTCACAGTGGTGGAGAAATGGTGGGGCTGTAAAAGGATCGATTATGCTCTGTACTGTCCAGATGCTCTCACTGCCTTTCCCACCGTCACCCTCCCCCATCTCTTCCACGCCAGCTACTGGGAATCAACTGATGTTGTGGCATTTATACTTCGCCAGGTAATGTCTACGTTCATCTCATCACCACACTCCCCAGGACAGGGACAGCACTGGGTTAAATACTGGGTAAAGCTCCCTCTACACTGTCCCCCCCAGCAAACACTGCCAGGGGAGTTGTTACATCATAACAGCAGGAGGCCATTCAGCCCCTTCCCCAGCCTGTTACACAGGGG